AAAGCCAACCAGCAACCAAGTCAGTGCTTGAAAATGTGCTTCAGCTCAATCCCTGGTTTCTGTTAAGTATATATAATGAATATGTGATCTGTATTTATATCAGTTCTTTTATCTATATTTATAACTATTTATTTTGCCTATATATAAATATAGATGATTGGTGTTGTTCTTAAAGTCTCCACTTCAGGAATGTGAAAAATGTAGCTCTTTCTTTTATCGATATTTATACCTAAATATATATCATATATATTTTATCTACATTTATATCTATTACTTTCTCTATATTTATAAATGTCTTTTATCTCTATATAAATATAGATTTTTGGTTTTCTTAAAGTCTGCGCTTCAGGAATGTGAAAACCATATATGCTTATTTTATCTACGTTAATAATTATAAATATTTCTTTTATCTCTATAGAAATAGATTTTTGGTGTTGTTCTTAAAGTCTGCGCTTCAGGAACGTGAAAAACATAGCTATTTATTTTATCGATATTTATATTTAAATATACATCACCCATACATTTTTTATCTATATTTATATGTATTTTTTTTACCTATATACTGATACATATTTCTGTCATATCAATATAAATACAAGCTAAGGCCCCCCTCCCCACACTGCTGAAGCGCAGACCCTAAGAATGACACTAAACATCTGTACTTCTATTTATAGAGATAGAGAAATGGTTCGCCCCACTCGACTCCTCACGCCCCTTTCTCGCGGGGAATGGTTTCTCCCTGTCCAGACAGTTGGCCAATCAGGCCGTTGGCGCGGGAAGCGGCGCGCACTGAGGGGGGGGCGGGGACGGCCGTTAGCGAAGCCCCGCCCCCTCGCGCCCAAAGGGAGGGGGAAGCGGACAGCCGTTGGAGCGCGCGCGGGTTGGCGCGCGAGGGGCGGGGCCTGTGGGCGTCTCACCCCCCCCTTCCCCCGCTTCTGTGTTCTGCGCGCGCACGCTGCATTTGGTGCACGCACACTTCATTTTGTACGTGTGTATGTGCACGTGCCTGCACACATGCGTGCTCCACTTTGGACACCCGCTGCGCACACTTCATTTTGCACATGCATGTGTGTACACACCTGCACATGCTCTGTTTTGCAGATGCACACTTGGCACACATGCACGCTCCATTTGATGCACGCACATGCTCCATTTTGCACAGGTGTGACCATGTCTGCACACATGCTCCATTTTGTAAACGCACAACATGCTTCATTTTGTACGTGCTTGTGTACACGCACCTGCACATGCTTTATTTGGCACATGCACACTGCACACATGCTCCATTTGGTGCACGCACATGCTCCATTTTGCAAGCACACTTCATTTTGCATGTGTCAGCACACAGGCGTGCTCCATTTTGCCCATGCACTACACATGCTTCATTTCACACATGCTTGTGTACATGCATCTGCACCCATGCTCTGTTTTGCACATGCACACTGCACATGTGCACACGCTCCATTGGGTGCATGCACATGCTCCATTTTACACGTGTGAACATGTCTGCACATGCTTCATTTTGCATATGGTTGTGTACACACACCTGCACATGCTCTATTTTTCACATGCACACTGCATACATGCACACACACTCCATTTGGTGCATGCACACGCTCCATTTTGCATGCAGTTCATTTCCCACAGCATATGTGCCTATGTCTGCAGACATGCATGCTCCATTTTGTGCATGAACACATGCACACACGCACTTCATTTTGCACGTGTGTACACACATCTGCATGCATGCTCTATTTTATGCATGCACACACTTTGCGCACCCATGCTTCATTTTGCACGAACGTGCTTCATTTTGCAAGCACTTGAGTACCTGCACACCATTTTGCAAATTGTGTGCCTGGCCCTGCCCTAGCCGGCCCCCAACAAAGCACATTCTTCCTCCTCATCTGCCTTTGCAGGGGGGACCAAAATGCTTCTGTGCTAAATGCTGCCAGAATACCTCGCTAAAACACATGTGCAAAGGTCTCAAATACCTTGTGTGTGTTGCATGAAGCGGTGTGGATTCACCAGTGTGATACTTTTTCTTTGAGGACAACTAGAAATTTGTGCTACTTGCACTGAGTACAAGCGGCGGTTCTCTGGCTGCAATTGTACATGTTCCCGTTCATTTTACAGTCCAAAAGGTTAAGATGCCGGATGGAAAATAGGTGACATTACTGCACAAAGAGATAGCAGGGGAGAGTTTGGAAGTAAAGAAAAGAGCGTGAGATTTCACTCTAAAAAACGCAGGAGGCATTTACAGAGCCAAATAACATAGGGGATTTTATTGTGATCTTAAATGCAGAAGCGTTTATGACTGAAATCAAGATCAAATGCATTCTATTCTGAAATTTCAGTCTTGAAATATTGCAATCGAAAAAGAAGGTTGTTTCCACTCAATGCTCTCGGGCAGAAACAAAGATTATTGGTAACGCTTCTCTCTATCGGTTCAGTGAATCATTGCAATTTCCATTGCAGACGCAGCGTATATCAGTACTAACTCACTTGTACTGATACGCGTGTTTCACTCGGCAGTGTGTATTATTACAGCAATACGTGATGGACTCCTACCAACATGTTTGTACTTTTATTAGCATTTGCAGTATTTTATTCAGGTGAAAGCTTTTGAAAGGCTGGGCCGACTAGGCTGCTGGATTGGGTTGTAAATGCAAGCTTTCCTTCTTGACAACCTGCAATCTGGAGAACATAATATCATGTGTTTGTCATGGTCCATATTAGCTTTTGTAGCGGGTGCACACTTTTTTTCAGCGTTTTTAGCACGGACGGATTTGGTGGCTTGTGTTGACTTCCTTATGCCAGGCCAGTGTTGATGAAACCACAGCTCTGCTTGCTGAGAGCCAGCCCAGGGGTATCTCCCTCGTGCTGCTTTGAGATGGGTGCATGCGTATAGTAACAAATCAAAAAAGAAGAGGTTCGGGAGTATATATCCTAACGGATCATCAGCATTTAAGGTATACCAACTTTTAAGCCTAAACTATAGGGTCTCCGTTGTGTTTCCTGCTTTTATTAGTTTTGTGGCTTTTATTTTGCTTTTACTTAGATTGCAGACTCTGCAGCACACAAACCAGAGTCCCTTGGGTTTTTTGGGTGACGTACTATTCACAAACCAATAGTTCAGGTATATTATTTTAATGCATTTTTTTAAAGATTAATATTTGGATCTATCAAGCGGGCATGGATTTCTGCCACCGGATTTATGTGCAATTATCTGCATTAGAAAATGGTAGTTGGGAGTAACTAATTTATACATGCATGTGGTGAAAAAATGGCCTAATGAACTGTGGAAGGTGAGATTAGAGTTAGAGAAGATAAAGGGTTCAGAAACTTTCTGTTTTTTTCTATGTACATAATAAGCCTGGAAAGGGGCCTCCTCCACCGTTGCATGCAGCCCTCTCTGTGCAACCCCATTGCACATCTACTAGACAAACACACAGGTCCTGTCTACAAAAAAATTTTTTCCAAAAAAAATTTTTTTTAAATAGTATTGCTAGCACAGGTGAAGTTTCACAGATAGTAACAATAGTAGAGGTGCAACATGGACAGGAGCTGGACTTCTGGAAAGCACTGTAGGGAATTAGGTGCCTAATTCCCATTGAGTTTTACTGGGAGGTGGCCACCCAGTAGCACCTTTAGGTATCATTTTATCTAACGCTCAGAAAAGCTACAGAGTGGGTTTGGAAAATTGGTTCAAATGCTAATTTAGCCATGCATGGCTCTATGGCAGTGCTTCGAACATTTGCTGATGGTGGTACCTGTACCACTGGTATAAAATCTTGGGTAAAGCCAACATGGACACAGCTCTATGCAGGTATTTTAGGGGTCAGACCATTTTTTAAGTCCCCGTGCCACTTCTGAAAGCGCTGTAAGTATGGACAGGGCGATCTTTAAATGTACAGTCCCTTTCCCCCTCTTCTGTCCATGCACTCCCACTCTCAGCAGAGGAGAAGGAGAAGGAGGAGGTCTCCTCTCGCCTAGGAGCTGAGTGTTGGGAGATTCAAAGCACCTGGGTTCATGTCTCACTCCTAGGCTTGGCCTCATAATGCTAAACTGAAGTTATCTGCACTAAAGGTGTACAAAGTGTTGATTAAAACCTGTTGATCCTCACCCTTTAACACCCCTTTTTATTGCAATTAGGCCTTTAGCACCCCTGTTTATTGCAATTAGGCTACAGACCAAACCTCTCAGTTTGATGCTGTTAACTTTTCCCACTATCCTTTCATTTGGCAGCTTTTAAATGCAGTTCACCTGGGTGAGGCCCTTTCTTTAGTCATTTGCTCGTGAGCTAGCAAGAGAGGGACGCAGGGATCTTCAGGATCATCCATCACTGATGCACACCAGTGAACACCTGGGTGGAAAATGATGGCTTTGTTGCGGACTAGACTATGAAGGAGAGCTTCAGGTAAAATGGGGGGGAGCAAGAGTCACAGCTTGCAGCATGAGGAGCTATTCAAGCCATGCACAGACCAGGGTAAAAATCTAAGCCTCAAACTTGCATTAAAAAAAAAAAATGTACAAGCAACAATTATTACTTGATCTGAGACATACTTTCTTTTAAAAAGAGTTCAAACATTTGTCTAGTGAATGTTTATACAGAGCCAAATTTGTTCTTAAAAAAACAAGTTGTTCAAGTCTTGCCCAATAGCGGGCTGGGCAGAATGACACAAACGGGGAAATGCCCATCCCAGCATGACCACAGCTTTGCCAGTGAGCTGTTTCTTCCAGGTGAGGGTGCGCACCTGAGTGAGACAGGATTTGGCATCAGGCCAGGTGTGCTGCCTTCCAGGTAACCACCCCCCTGTATTTCCCCAAGGCTGCTAAGCTTTATCTATCATCTGCTCAGTTCAGGTTTCTTGCCCAGGCAGCTGCTGCAGCCCTGTGCTGCAAGGAGGCTGCTCCCAGGGCTCTGGGTTGCAGGCTCAGCCCTGTGCTTTGTAGCTGTTACACAATAGGGGAAGACTACAATTCCCATAGTACTTCCACATACTGGTACTCCAGTGACATCAGACGTTACATGGCTGAGACTGGTTGTAAAGCAAGAAGACCCAAAATGTAAGCTCCGGGTTTCTTTGACTCCTGTGGCAAGGCCTTTGGCATGCTGCAGTCTTGCTCTGGGGGCGTGGGGGGCTGTTGCTGCAGAGTCATTTAAAGGGGATTGTGTCTGAAGGGGGGGGGCGTGGAAGTGCAAGCAGTTTGCAGTGTTGGTGTAGGTGCAGATTGGAGACTCAACTATTTCAGGGAACCTGAGTGCCTAATGCTAGTGCTGCTACTTGAGCGACTCCTTTCGCAGCCAGGGCCTCTTCCTTCTGCACGCATCAAACCCCGCCTGCCTCTTTCCTCGCCTTGTTTGTCATGCTGCCTCAATGGGTGGAGAGGAGACGCTCTCCAGAGCCTGGCAACAGTTTCTGTATGCGTGTAGTCACTGAGGTGTGTGGCGCGTGTCCCATGGCAGCGGCGTGCAAAGCGAGGTGGTGCAGCAGTGGCTTAGCCTTAGCAGGGGATCGACTACGCCACCAGACTTCATGGCCCGGGGATAAGCTGGTGCTGCAGTGTCCAGGGTGTGCGGCTGGTGGCGAGTAATGCACACCGGGACTGACTGGTGGGTAACGTCTGCGCAGGGGGGTCGGATGGGAGTTGATTTTTACACCCGGGGATTAAACCGACGTGTCATTTTTGCGTTAGCGCAGGAGCGGTGTTTGGAGAGGGGAGTCATGCTCCTGCTTTGAAAAGTGCAAACAAGGAATCGAGCAGAACAATTTCTGCACAGTAATGTTGCTAGAAAGGTGGCATGCTTAAAAGTCCCTGTGATGACTGGAAAGTGATTCAGTTATCACAGGTAACCGTGCCCAGCCTTTTACAAGGGGTGCTGAAACCCCCAGTCTGAATGCTTGACACAGCCTAACCCAAGCGCTCGTGCTGACCCCAGAGGAGGGACAGCCCTAGGGGACTGGGAAGCCTCTTGTCACCCTGCTCCCCTCCCCTAGGTACTGATTGCTACCTTGAATAGTTGAGCTTTCCAACCAGATGTTCCTTTTTCCTATGTTCTGCGACTTCTATTATATCACGAAACTGTGTTTAACGCTGCAATTTTTGTTTTGGATTTCACAAATTGCCGACTGATGGGGTGAGGGGAAGCAGTTTTTTACATCTAATCTATCGGCTAATGTAATATGAGGATGTATCTGTTGTTTAATGCCATCAGAAAAGGTATCATTTCTGAACCAAGAGCTCTAGATTTTTAAATTTCTTTTTGTCTTGGACCAACAGGGCTACCAAATGCATCCCTGCGTAACCTATCCAAGGCATCTAAATCTTAGAGTTGGTGGTAAGGTACATTAGCTTGCAACATTTGAAACTCCTTTTGCAACATGCACTGTTAATTCTCAATAAGTTGTAAGGGAGCAGGAAGGAATTATAACAATGTTTGACTTTTTAGAGAGAGGACTACATTATTGGAGGACGTGTATATATATATGAATTTAGCTGAGTTTAGTGTGCGAGAACTGCCCAAATCATTTGCTTTTTAAAACTAACAAAAAAAGCGTGCAACACTAACTTGTAATTTAAAAAAATATACAGAATTCCATGAGTTTCAAGATAACTAGTACAATAGTGAGGTTTATATATATATATTTTTTTTAATTAACTATTTTAAACATGCAAATGAAAATATTTGAATTTATTTAAACTACTCTTCAGCACCTTTCATGACCTTTTTAATAGGCCCTTGTGTTTTCCTTCCCTCCTAAAGGATGATAAACTATGTCAAAGTTATACCAAAGCGAAGGCCAGTGAAGTAAGCTGATATCAAGCTCTAGTATATGCTAATAGAGCCTGCAATGAATATGACCGCTTTTATCAAAATATTTTAAGAATGGTTGGGTCACTCTGAATTATACAGACAACATATTGACAAGTACAGTGTAACAACTGTCCTTCCCACCCTCCTCACTCTGTCCCCTCCTCCCAAAAAAGTTTGCAAGGACTCCAAATTTGAGTTGCAGACTTTTGGAGAAAACATTCTTAAACTTAATTTTGTAGACTGTAATAATACTTGGCAACTTTATGTGAATGTTTGACGAAGAGTATTTTTATAATTAGGGAATAGTTATACAAATAGTCTGTTTTGGTCTGAGTTTCTATAAGCCTGTCTTGCATTTTACAGATTATGCCAGGTTTTAGTACTCTTTAGTGCGGATGTAAAGTAAATTATCATTCATGATACCGGTTAGCCTTCAAAACTACAAAACAGGGGCATGACCCAGGAAACCACTGGGACTTGACATTTTTGTTGAAATCGGTGAGACTTCCATGTACCTTCTGGCCTGTGACATTGAGACAAAAATGTAGCCCGCAGATAACTTGATACTGCTTTTCTTGATCTACTTTTTGTCCCTAAATTAAATGCCTTGGTGACAGCTGGTGTATAAACAGGGCCCTTTTCTGTAACTTACTTGGATTTTTCAAACTAGCTAAAATACAGTAAAATTAAGTGCAAGAGGCAAGGTATTGCACTTAAATTTTGACAGCTGGGAACAGGAAAGTTAATACTGTAAGCACTCATTGCATAAATCCACGTTGTTCATATATGGATGTTGTCTAGAAGGTCTTAATATCTTTGTTGCCAAAATATTGAATTTGTAGCTGAAATTCTAAATTTTCTGCTTTTTTGCCCCTCTTAAAAAAGGGGGGAAAAAAAAAAGTGGTGGTACCAGTTTGGTGCTTATACAAATGTTAGGCCTCCAGAAAGTTAACCAGGAGAGGCGTGGAGATCTGTCCCCAAGCGGTTTGGTCAAAGTTTCTGTGCTGTCTGACTTGGTAACCCAGAGTGCACATAGGCCTCCAAATTGACAGAGGTTCAGAATAGATGGTTTGAGGAAAGGTGAAAGGCAGCTAGACTTCCAGTCTCTTTCCCATGTTGCCTTAATGTGGAATAGGGACTGAACTTTAGCTAGCACAGCATGAGCGACTGGTGCCTGCCACGGCTGGAAGGGCACCAGAGCGCTGGTGGGGAGTGGTCCCCCAGCGGCCGATTGCCGAGCCAGAAGCGAAACTGGCAAAATGGGAAGTGCACTTCCACCGGCACTTCTGGTTTTACGTCTGGCGCCTCCGGGGGTGCAGGTGCACCCGTGTGCACCCCCTACGCGTCGCCAATGGTCTCAGTGACTGGCGATCAGTTTAAACCTGTAACTACCGTGAGCGACGTGTGCCCCTGGAGGCTGGTGGGGCATGGCGACCACCCACAGGCATTGGGGGCATGGTGGCGGTGACTGGGAGTTCCTGCAGGTGGCCACAACGGTGTCGATGGGGAGGGGAGTGGCAAGCAGTGACCACCCGCAGGTGCTACCAGCAGCATCGGCGGCGCTTCTCTCGGGGAGGGGTGCACCACCAATCTCGGGGGGGGGGGGCACCCCGGCACATCACTAGTGTAGCACAAGAAGATGCGGGGCAGCCTGAGGAAGCTGAAAGCAGATTAATTTCACCAAGAACAAGGTACTCGCATTCCAGAAGAAGCATCCAAACGTGGAATAATTCAAGAACAGCTATTGCACTTTACATTCACACGTGGCCCTCATCTGAATGAAGCGTCAAGTATAGATAAACCTATCATTTTAGCATGAGTTAGACTGAGCAAGTCTCACTCGGGTCCTCACTGTTGGGTGAAGGTGTAGTACAGCGAGGTGCGAACCAAAACCTCATTTAAGATTGTACAGTGATATAAATACTGACCACCGTCATGTCAGTGAAGACCATGCCGAAGAGTAACAACTCATCGGACAGGTCCTTAGGAGGCAACGCTCTGCCACTTCCAACGCTGGAAAGGGGTGAAACTGGAGAAGTGATGAGGGGCCAGGCTGCACCCCGGACCCTAGGTAGAGGCAGACTGGTCGTCCACAGCCAGTCAAGATCAGACCACGGGTTGTTTGTAAAATAGTACCCAGGAATGGGTGAGCTTATAGGAAGAGTTTGGAGGACTAGCACATTTTGATTGTTTGCCTCTGCATCCCGTCTTTCACCATGGCGAAGAGCAGCAATAATTGTTAATAGCTATCTGAGAGTCTGCCCTGTTACTCAGCTACTTGGGCATTGCGTGTGTGGATATGGAGTGCCTTAAAAGCAAAGTGAGCTGAATTTGAGTTAAGACTTCAGTGAAATCGGGGCCTAAGAAATATCTGCCGCACATGCAGGGCTACATGATGAAGTATTCTTGTGACTAATCCCATTAAGAATTATACTGAATTTTCTGATTGTTTATGATCTGTTTTATAAATGTATGCGTGACTTATGCCAGTGGTGCCCAACCTTTTTGGCTTGCAGGCCAGATGAACTGTGCCAGGTCTGTGGGCTAAATCAGGTCTGTGAGCTCGATCCAGGGTGCAACACTGGCCCAGTTGGCACCCATGCGGGGCTGGGGCTTGATGCAGACAAGGAGCTCCATTGGGCCCTGGCCAGGTTGTTTTTGTGTAGCTGCCCTCATCCAGCCATGAGGATACGAGTCCCAATCCTTCCATGTGGGGCTGGCCCAGCCAGGCCTGACCCAGCTGAGTGGGGCTTGGAAATGTGGTGGCAAGGGAATGGTGGCAGTGTTCATTGCCATCACTCCCCCCAACACCAAATTTCCAGGCTTGTGAAGGCACCTGTACATGGCCCTGCAACTCAGAACTAGCCCGTGGGCAGGACTTGAGCACCCCGACCTATACTGATTTTTCTTTTCCTTTTTTTCCAGGGGTCAGTTAACACTCTAGCAAACCCTGTTCATTGTGAATTTATACTTGTGAGAAGCAAAACTGTGATAAGCTAGGGTGCTCATGTGGTGCCTAGCATATGATAGAGTTTTGACTTTTTTTTTTTTTAATGTTGTTTATCCTAAAAATTATGATGATCTTCTAGGTCCTGTAATAGCTGACTTTACAAAAACTATTGATTGCTGGTGGGTTTTGGAATACTGTCCAGGTTATTCTTCAGCAGACTTCTGTTTCTGTTTAATTATAATACTTGCTGGCCAAAGGTTACTGAGCTCATCCCTTTGAAATGAGAATTCACTTTTCCTGGTTGCTGCTAATGACGTTGACATTGAATTTGCTGAAACCACGTTGGTTATGTGGGTCAGGGCTGAAAAATTATTTAAAGTTGAGCAAGCGGAATCGTGAGACGCTTTAGACTCAAGCATTTAGACAACTTTAGGGCTAGTAAACCCTTTGTAGCCAGATGAAATTGCCATTGTAGTCCTTTGCCCCAACAAATATATTCCTCCCTGCCTTCCAGTTTTGAGCTCTGCCTAAGGAATGCCTGCCTCCACGGGGGTTGATAGCATCTGCTGATTTCCCGCTTTGCAGCAGATTGAAAATGTTTCATCTGAAGAATCATTGAGATGATTTTTGAGAGTTTTCACTGCTGCTTGTAGAGATGAAAAGTGACAAATCTAGTCGGTGTTCACTATTCTGCACCATGCATATTCAGTGAGCAGCCAGGACACCTGGGGCTGGATGCAGAGCTGTATGACAAAGTTCAGTTTTAATTTGGAAATTTTTTTTTTTTTTTAACCATACATGTTGGACACTTTTTCTTAAATGAAATCATAATTCTTTTGTGTGCGTGTTATTCGGATATCCATGAATCTGTCAGAGGTACTTTCCACTTTGTGCTAGGTAATGGCTCTTTTTAAGTCTCCAAATGTGTTATGACACCTGGCGCCCAACCTTTTGGTGCTGTGGGTCCGATGAGTGGCACGGCAGGTATTGGCCTGGATCAAGCTCTCCAAGCTGCTTCCTCTCAGCCCCACGCTGCCAGATTGGGCCCTCTCATCTCCTTGGGCCAGTGCTGCAGGATTGGCCCTGTGACACCCTAGCCAGCCTGTGTGCCTGGATTGGCCCCTGGGCCACCTCTGCCCACCAGTCAAGAAACTTGGCAGGAGGAGCGGCAGCTGCTGCTACCATTCCCTTGCCACCACATGTTTTGGACCTGTGGGGCCCCCGGCAGGCTGGATCTGGCCTGCAAGCCAAGGGTTGAATGCCTTTGTGTCAGAATAGCGCCAACGTTTTGACTGAACCATATTATTGTAGCAAATAAGTGTTTTGGTGTTGATCTTCTGAATAAATGTACATTGATAGATATAGGTAGTGTGTATCTCTCTATCTATCCATTGGCAACACATAGCGGGTGCATGTGCACCCCTGGAGATCGGCTGTGCACCTCCTGGAAGAGCCAGTCACAAAACTGGAAGTGCACTTCCAGTTTTGCTGCTGGCTCAGCAATTGGCTGCTGGGGGACCCCCTACAGTCAGCAATTGGTCACTGGGGATTCCCCTGTCGGTGATCTGGTGCCCCCCAGACTCGGGAGCCACCAGTCGCCCATGTCATCCATTGACAGAGATATCAATATATAGATATAGAGACGTATAGATTTCCCCCCTGCCCCAAGATGTTGATGTTTCTGGCTAAAAAAGTACTTGAAATATTTAAACACATTTCTAATCATTGTTTTCTTGTTTTAAATAGGTTAAGCCTGTGCTTAAGAATGTGAATTTCTGTTTATATGGCAATGATGCAAGCTTGGGAAAAGAGAATTTATATTCTGATAGCAAGGACATGGTCAAACAAAGTACCACCCTTGGTCATTACAATCCACAGGTGAGTCTCTGAAACGACTGCATTTGGTGATTTGATCAGAATTGGTTTTGTCTTACTGTTGTTCAGACTAAATGAATATGTTTAACTCCATATAAGAAACCTAAAGCAAATTACCTGTTGGGATGGACAAGACTTCTCTGGTATGTTTCTTAGGATAACCGTGATTCACAGAAGCCAATAGTTACTTGTTTAGTCTAGCCCAGCCTTGAATGCCTTTAGTAGTATCAGTTTCTGTGAACTCCTTTGTTTTCAGAATATCCTGCCAGTCACTAGAAAGTTACTGGTCAATAAATGCTGAGTGATTTAATGTGAAAAGTATTCTCAGTCCATTTACCAGTGAACAGTTGACCATCCATTGGGAGTGGGAGGGTCAATCTTGCTACTACAGTAACTATTCTGTGCTATTAATGTTGTAGAGGCTGAGGACTGAGTGTTGTTTCCTTCAAGTGGGTCTCAGTCTGGTTAGGTTTCTTAAATTTTCTTAACTCTACTCTGGGACAGTCAAAATGGTCAAGACCGAACTGATTCAATCTCCGCAGGTTAGTCTAAGCTGCATAGATTGAACCGATAAGCAAGTGAACAGACATTCACTTTTGAGTCTGGAAATGCAGCCACATGCCTGCAGTGGCCCAGGCCAGAAGCTGTTCCTGCTTAGCTGGAGCAGACAACTTGGGCCAAGGATAGTCTACCCTGCCCTGTGGGGGGGGGGTGCAGGTGCAAAGCATCCTGGGATGCTGGGGGCTGTGAGTTGATTTGAATCTGGAGGGGATCTGGGAGATAATTCCAGTAAACCAATTTAACCGAAATTGGTTGCATCTGCTGCTAATGTCCATCTAGGCTTATCTTAAACCAGTTTTGGCCACTTTGAAAGTGATCTTTGTGCACTGAACTCCTGTTTTTTGTTAAAAGATTGGAACCGGTTTCCAATCGCTTACGCTGGTTTATGTGTAACTTCTGTCCCTACCCTGGCAGTGAGTGTATGACAAATTTAACTCGTGCCCCCCCCCCCCCCCCAAAAAAAAACCCAAAAAACCCCCTGGCCCTGGAAGCAGTAACTGGGGTCTTTAGTAGCAGTGATTCCTTACCCTGGGGATCTTCAAGAGGAGGTTAGATAAGCATCTGG